TCGCTAAGTAAGTGGGCCGTGTAGAGGGCTTTCTACTTCCCATCAGAATCTGTTGCACGGGATGTGAGCATTATAGCTCTGTTCGATTCAGCCATGGAGCATCCACGCTGTAAGGTGGAGCGATTGCAGGTCAGGGTGACACAATCGCCCGTGGTCCTGGGAGATCAAGTCTGGGCACAAGGGAAGCGTGATCCGAGTTTGAACCGATAGCTCCAGAAGCATGGTGTACCAGTGCTGTCTTGGCCAAGCTGGAGCGACTAGAATCACACATGCCTGGTCTCTCCGTAGTTTGAGCAGTACCCTGTGGACCAGTGGGAATGGAGGGAAAGCGTAGAACAGCTGGTCTTTCCACATTAGAAGGAAAGCGTCCGACAGGGAGCCAGGAGATCGCCCTTGTAGGGAGCAGAACACGTGGCACTTCCTGTTGGCTCGTGATGCGAACAGGTCTACCTGGGGAAATCCCCACCTCTGGAAGATGGAATAGATGATGTCCGGGCGAATCGACCACTCGTTCGTCTGGAAGGATTTGCTGAGACGATTCATCAGAGTGTTCTGGACTCCAGGGAGGAACGATGCCATGAGATGTATCGAGTGGGCAGTGCAGAACTCCCACAGACAAATGGCCTCGTGGCTCCTCCTTGCTTGTTGATGTAGAACATGGCCATGGTGTTGTCTGAGAGGACTAACACGCAGCGGCCATGCAGGAGACCGAGAAATGCCTGCACAAACCGCCTTGTGATCCAGCCACCAGGTAAGAGAGGTCAAGACAGAGTTCAGAATCGTGACCACCATGTTCAGCCTGTCCCGAGAAGGGCGGTACACCGAGGACACCCAGGCCTGAAGTTGGCGAAGCCAAAGTCTGGCATGCCTTGTTACGTAAGTACAAGAGGCCATGTGACCCAACAGACCAAGGCATGTCCTTACAGTGGTAATCGGGAAGGCCTGGCGTCTGTGGATGATGTCCGCGATGGTGCGAAACAGAGTGTCGAGTCTAGGACTGCCCCCATAAACTCTATTCTCTGGGTCGGCTCCAGAGTGGACTTTTCTAAGTCGTGGAATGTTTGCTTTGTCACCGAAGGTATGCTGCCATGACGGCCATACATTTGGTGAACACTCTCGGAGCCGCGGACAGTCCGAAGGGAAGGACAGCAAATTGGTAGTGTACCTTGTTTACTACAAAACAAAGGAAGCGCCTGTGAGGAGGGTAGATCGCTATATGAAAATATGCATCCTTCATGTCGAGGGCGGCATACCAATCCCCAGGATCCGGGGAAGGGATGATGGTCCCCAGGGAGACCATGTGGAACTTCAACTTTACTATGAATTTGTTGAGTCCACGTAAGTCTAAAATGGGTCGCAGACCCCCTTTTGCTTTGGGGATCAGGAAGTAGTGGGAGTAAAACCCCTTGCCCCTTAATTCTGGGGGAACCTCCTGTATAAGGAGATGCTCGTGAGAAGGGTCCCTGAAGAGGGACAGGGAGGGGGGGTACGAAGAAAAGTGGAGGGGGTATCCCCTCTCCACCGTGCGAAGGACCCAACAGTCTGAAGTTATAAGGGACCAAGCACAGTGGAAACGGGAGAGGCGATCCTGAAATAAAGGAGATGGATCCTGGGTAGTGGCTGGTGCGCGCGCCATCCTCGGGCGCAGCTTCAAAAGTTTTGCCTAGGTCCTGAAGGTGGCCTAGGGGGGCCCTGGTTCTGACCGGGTTGGGGTCCGGTGGGCCTCCGTCTATCACCTCGTCCCCGCCTTCTGGGGAAGTCTTGTCTCTGACGAGGAGGAGGAGGGTAGAACCTTTGTGGGTGTGGCCTAAAGGGCCTGCGTTGAGGTCCTGGGACATGCATCCCCAGGGAGCGCATGATGGTTCTCGAATCTTTGAGGCTCTGTAACCTAGAGTCCGTCTTGTCTGAGAACAAGCCTTGGCCCTCAAACGGCAGATCCTGCAGGGTCTGCTGCAGTTCTGGCGGTAACCCCGAAACCTGGAGCCACGTCGCATGGCTATCTCAGACACTAGAGTCCTGGCAGCCAAGTCCGCAATGTCGAGGGAGGCCTGTAAGGAGGTTCTTTTTTGCCCTCCTCCACCAGGGCCCCAAACTCCTCCCTCGAGTCCTGGGGGACCAACTCTTTAAATTTACCCAGGGATTTCCATGAGTTATAATTGTACCGACTTAAGAGCGCCTGTTGGTTTGCGGCCGTGAGCTGCAGACCTCCCGCCGAATAAACCTTGCGTCCAAACAAATCAAAGCGCTTAGCGTCCTTTGATTTGGGCGCTGCCACCTGCTGGCGTTCACTGATGAGACTACCAGTGAACACTGTGAGGGATGGGTGTAGAGGTACTCAGTCTTTAGAGGGGAGGGATAGCTCAATGGTTTGAGCATTGGCCTGCTAAACCCAGGGTTGTGAGTTCAATCCTTGAGGGGGCCACTTGGGGATCTGGGGCAAAACCAGTACTTGGTCCTGCTAGTGAAGGCAGGGGGCTGGACTCGATGACCTTTCAAGGTCCCTTCCAGTTCTAGGAGATGGGATATCTCCATTAATTTAATTTTAATTTAATTTACTTCCTCTCTGGCAGTGGGAGGGATGGAGGCCGGGGTTTGCTATAGGGCCGTAGCGTTAGCCTGAATTGTTCAGATAATAGGCAACACCACCCAGCTTGGGGCATCAGATGAAAGGATGCTCACCACCAGGTCCTCCACCTCCACTATCTCCTCGGCCTGTAGGTCCATATTTCGTGCCACCCTACATAACAAATCTTGGTGGGCACGAAGATCTATAGGAGGTGGGCCTGAGGGTGTTGTACCCGCCACTGCCTCAGCTGGGGAAGATGAGGATGACACCTCAGGGGGTAAAGGATCTGTGTGGGGGTCTGGCTCCAAGGAACTTGGAGGTGCAGGATCCCCTGCACCAGGGTCTGGTTCCTGCGTGGGCGTCGGGGCCGGAGCCTCCATACCCCCTGGGGGAGGACGGGAAATGGCGGCCTCAGGACCCCTGGGCTCAGAGTGAGCCGAGCGAGAGGCCGCTATTGGAGATCCTTGAGCCTGGTGATATGCCCAAGGGGTCTAGAAAGACCAATGCGTAGGGTCTTGTCGAAGGTTTTCTGCCCCCTCCTGCCAATGACCCAAGTCGTCTGCAGCTTGACCCTGAGCAGGGTACGCTGAACGGGAAGCCCCTTCAGACAAGTGAGACACCGCTCTCAAGGGCCAGGGCGGGGCCAAGCGTGGGTGCAGGGAATCGTCCTGGTAAGGTGCCGAACAGTGCTGATCCATTGGCAAGCGGTCTCTGTGTGGTGCCAGTGAACGGTACCGGGATCGAGAATGGTGCCGATGTCCATCGCAGTACTTGGATCTGGACGACAAAGACCGTCTGTAACCTCGGTGCCGGGAGCGGCGCTCATACCGGTGCCGAGAGCTGCGCCTTGACTCCGACCGGTACCGATGCTCGGGTCGGTGCCGGGAGGTAGATCTGGGCCACGAATACGAGCAGTGCAGAGATGGAGAGCGGTGCCGGGACTGCGAGCTGGGGCGAGACCTGCTCCGAGACCGGGAGCGGTGCCGCGAGTCCATGCCCGGAGATGGCGGCCGTATTAGGGTAGGCTTGCCCCTGGACTGTACCGTACGAAGGGCATGCGGTGCCGCGGGTTGAGAAGGCACCAGCTCCGTGAAGGCGATGAGGTCTCTCGCCGTGGCAAACGTCGCCGGTGTAGAAGGGAGACAGGGCTCCACCACCTGACGAGGTGGTGAGCCAGTCCTCAACGGCTCTACACCCGGGGTCAACGGTGCTGATGATACTTGCACCCTCTGGTGTTCGGAAGCCGGGCGCGGCTCTACCACCCGTGCGGGGGGAGCCGGTGCCTGTTGGATGGCAGCGTCCTGAGTCTTACGGGGCCTTTTATGGTGCTGAGGCGCCTTTTCCGCGTCTGCCTGTGGTGCAGTACCGGAAGGTGCCCCTGGGGCACTACGCACCGAGGCGCTCGCTGCCGGAACCTGGCGCACTGAAGGAGGATCTGGGCTAAGTGCCGCCTCCCTTAGGAGCTGCTTAAGCCTGAAGTCCCGCTCCTTTTTCGTCCTTGGCTTGAAAGCCTTGCAAATCTTGCACTTTTCCGTTTGGTGAGACTCCCCATAGCACTTCAGACAAGAGTCATGGGGGTCTCCCATTGGCATAGGCCTAGCACATGTCGCGCACGGCTTAAAGCTGAGAGCCTTGGGCATGAGCCCGGCTGTGCGCTGGGGGGGGGAAAAGGGGGAATAAAGGCCCCCTTAAGCCCCGCTAACTACAAAAACCTATTTATAACTATTAACAACTACTAATCTAAAAAACACAATTAACTATCTACAAGAAGCAACAGGTAAAGCTAGGGAGAGTGGAGAACAGCTATGCCGCGCTCCACAGTTCCAACGACCGTCACGGGCGGTAAGAAGGAACTGAGGGGGCGCCGGGTCGGCCGGGGTATATATCCAGCGCCATGAAGGCGCCACTCCAGGGGCTCCACAGCCGACCCACCGGGTGTTGCTAGGGTAGAAAATTTCTCTGATCGTGCACACGGCACGCACGCACCTAAATGGAATCGATATGAGCAAGCACTCGAAGAAGAACCTATGTTCTAGAGGAGTTAAGCCTGAGTAAAGACTCATACTGCTTGAGCAAACTGGGCAGCAGAGATGGAGGCTGATACCTGTGAATGGAGATCCATGCTGCTACTCAGCAGTTCCAGGTTAGGCTAGAAACAACCCCTGAGCTTACCTACTCTGATCTCCTGCGTAACACAGCTCTAGGAGTCCCAGGAATTAATTCCTGCTTCAATTCCAAAAGCGAAGGTTGACTGGTTTTCAATGGCTGTGGTGGACTCTCCCTCACTGGAGAATTGTTCCTCATGGTTTAGGCCGAAGGATTCAAGCTATTGATTATATTTCTCTGCTAAACTGAAGAGCTATCAAATTTGTGTTCATCATGTAGGTTTTAACTTGATCAGTCTTATAATGCACATTTTCAATAACTTTTGTAGCTCTTCTCTTCCAATTTATTACCATCATTCCTGAATTGTGGACATGGCTGCACCAGTGCTAATGAGGTAATACAAGGTTCCTACTCCTGCCTGTAGATCCACGGATTGCATAAGATTTTTTTGGCTACGGCAGTGTTCATGTTCATCTGATTATCCACAAAACTCTTGAGTCACTGCATCCCAGGATCAAGTCCCCCATTGTGTAAGTATAAGCTTACATTTGCCCTGTAAGCTAGGTCCAAACACTTGAGATAATTAGTAAATCGTGACAATGGGTCAGAGATACCAAAGCCCCAAACTGTCAGTAATTGTTTTCTTCTAGTTCATTGATCAATATCAAGCCAAGAACCTATTCCTGCTGTACCTTACTAGATAAACATGTTTAAGGCCTGTGCACTACTGTTGCAGCTCTCTGTCCCAGGATAAGGTAGATGAGACTGTATCTTTTATTGGACCAACTTCTGTTGGTGAGAGGAAACCTTTACACAGAACTCTCCATTAGTTTAATAATATGCCATGTTCATTGGGTATCCATTCTAAAGCTCAGATTTGTAAAGCTATCGAGGCAGGAGTCTAAATTCCATGGTCATCTGATGGAATTCAGACTGACTGCTTTAATAGCTTTTGAAAGTTAAGATTTAGGCTCCTAAATCAGTTAGGCATAGCAATGCTTAAATAGCTTTAAAACTCTGGGCCTTAAAAGTGATGTAGTACTACATCACATGCCTTAGAGAAGTCTACATGTATACTCAGCAAGAGGAAGTTGAGCTGGCCAGCCAGTACCAACAATTTTGGACAAAATTAAGGGCTAGAAGTGGGTCCTTCACTAATGGTATCTTGTAGAGGGAAGTATTAAATGCTATTTTAATTACATTAAGATCTAATTCATTTTGCCTTTCCCCAGCTAAATATAGCATTAACCAAGAATACTGTAAGTTTTTAGTATTGCTTTTACTAACAGGACAGCTAACTTTTTAAACACTCCTGTCCACAGGTAATTTGCTGAAACAAACACAAACAGCAACAACTAGGACATTGGTTAAGAAATAAATGTAGTATAAGGGAAAAAACCCATGTATGCTCTATTCCAAAAAGAGTAGTGTCCAGGTTGACTTAAGATGCTTTGCATTAGTGAGATCACTACAGATGACTCTTGCAAGGCAATTTCTTCTATATCTGTTCAAACTACACATAAAACAGCAGTGCTGGAATGTAAATAAGATCAAAACTTTAAGAGGCTTATGGCAGTGATTCTCAACCAGGGGTACCTCAACTCAAATAGATATTTGCCTAGATTTAAAAGTACTAGCAAAAAAGTCAGTACAATGAGTTGTTTATACACCTCTACCTCAATATAACGCTGTCCTCAGGAGCAAAAAAATCTTACCGCGTTATACTGAACTTGCTTTGATCCACTGGAGTGCACAGCCCTGCTTTACTGTGTTATATCAGGGTAGAAGTGTATTACTCTATATATTTACACTGAGATGTAAATTGAGGGATAGCCAGAGACACTGAAATTTAAGTACAGTATTTTATAATTGTATGGTAAATGAGAATGTAAACAATTTTTCAGTAATAACTCATTTTTTTCTGAGGTGTAATTTGGGGGTATACAAGACAGACTGCTGAATGGTTGAGTCACTGGCTGATGGTGAAGGAACATTTGCAGCACAAAGTTCTAATAGCAGTAGCTGTCATTTTCCTACAGTAGGAAAAGTCTTGCAAGCTCACTTCAGGTGGGGGCAGATCTATCTTGACTCCTGGAATAAATCTAACTTTTTCAGAAGTGACTGTTCATACTTTTTTCCCCCATCCATTAGTGCAGCACTCAATTTACCATGCACAAATAAATTGTCAGTTATTAAAAGTGAAAAAAATAAAGTCCAAATAGTACACAAATGACAAAGTCAGACTTTTACTTATAGCATTTAAAACCCAAACTAAGTTCTTAAGGCCTGCTTTCATTTGATTTTTCTTGTCTAGCCATCTTCACAAAATTAATTTTTTCTATACCAAGTTTAAGTTAACTATTCTTTTAACCCAGTAATAGATTTAAAAGTCAGTTCACCAAAAGCTTAATACAACTGTTTCATTGTTCAAGTCCCCTAATTTGGATGGAAGAATATACTTCAGATAACTGACATTAGTATGCTTTATTTACTAGGCAGGATCTGTCCCCCATAGCTATACTACTGTAGATTAAGTTAATCAAAACAGGATTTGAAGTTTTGCTGCATGTAAGACAATCAATAAAATTACACCTACAGCAGACACCATTAAACTCTCCTTAAAACATAAATAAGCAAGTGCAACCAGCCACTTATTTCACCCTTGTGAATATTCTTCACACTTAAGACAGGTCAGGTTTTATTTTCAGAATCTGAATGGGAATAACAGCAGTGGGAGACTATGCTGTAACTACCACATTGTAAAAAATCAATACAATGATGTTATAAAAATAAGCTAGTGGGATTTTGTATAAAATAAGCAATGTTGCATTATTTTGTTCAGATTGCACAGTACAAACAAGCCAATATCTAAATTAATACTGTTACAGGTATTTAATATTACATATATTGGGAGACAGCAGCTAGGAAAATAAGCACCTCAAAGCAGCTATGAGACTTCTGCAGCCAGCTTTTCAGAACAGTGTCCGAAAGTTAAAATAAAATCTTATATTTAATTACAGGTATACACATTATAAAATGTTGAAAAAAAGTAAGTATGCACTGCTTACATATTAAATTTTAGTAACAGTACATAAGTGATTCTATTTATATAAAAAAATCCATTCTTGTGAAAGGAATTTACACATGAAATAAATAAACGTTCAGTAATCTTAAAATTAATTGTAGGTCAGAGTGGCCAAGTGTAAAAACCAAGCCACTTTTAAAATGTTACTCTAATGATAGGGCAGAGTAAAAGTATGCCACATCCAGAAGGAAGTGCAACTCTGCTTTAATTTTACCAATTAGTTATAACCATGCAAAATACACAGGTACCTTCAAATATGGTACAACTCCAAGAGCATGAACAGCACACCCTTGAGAATATTTATACAAGAATATTCACAAAAACATACACTTTACAATTCTTTAATACAAAATATTTAGTGATATCAAATAGCATAATCTATTAAACACTTAGATCCCAGTTGACTCAGGCCATAACTTTCTAACTAGCTTCGTCTTACAATTCATATTTTTAAGTGACAGGAAAAACAGGCAAGTGGGGATGATTATAAAATGGTGTAGTCATCTCTTGCTTTCTCTCATTATATAGGAGATATTCAGAAGGTTGTTCAAATTAGGTGACGCATATGGCAAAGGGACCCATGAAATGGATGTTAAAATAAACTGCATTGATGCCTATTGCTGTCCTTCTGCAATCAATATCCAGTACCAGAGAGGAAGCTCAATTTAGAGGAGGACAGAGGAAGAACAAGTCTTAGTCACAATAAAACCAAATCTTTTCACACAGCTATTCTCTTGGTTTCAATTGTAGGTGTTTTAAAACTGAAAAGTTGAGCTGCTTATTTGAGGTCACCTTATATTCATCCATGGATTTGACATTCTCTGTTCAATGCTTGTAGAAATCAAACATTAAAATCCAACCCAGGGAAGCATGTCTGAAAGCTGGTTTGCTTCCTTACAATCCTGATAATTTGTGTACTTATCTGCCAGCTGTGCTATCATTAATAACTAAAATCATGTTAGGATACAGTGCAGTCATAACTGCCTTCCTGGAGAGGATCCTCCTCCTCTGCCCCAGACATGTCCTCTTCATGTCGACTCACACTGCTACTTCCACTATCACTCTGAGGGCTAGTGCTATGGCAGGTCAAACTCCGGCTTTCCTCTGCCCTTGGGCTGGCTTGTTCAGTAACCTTACAAGGGTTCACTGGTTGAAAAGCTTCAGGCTGCACTTGCTCTTCTGATATCTCACTTAGTTTCTGGAGCTGTGGCTTGATGACATTTAAAAATGGCTTGTACCCAGGGCTAAAGAACAAAGAAGGAAGAGGTAACTATGCAGTGAACTAAAAATAGCACTTCATTCACATTCTGCCCTCTAGGCTTCAGCAGTAAACCATTACTGTGACCCACCTATTAGAGCTCTTGCATAAAGCGCATGGGGTCAAGCTGCTACTGTCAAACAGTGACAGCAATTCAAATAGAGACCATTGTTTCAGGGGACTATGCATTATAACAGACTGTTACAGAGCTGTGGATTTCTATAGGGAAGCTGCTAAGGAAAATTCTATTCTGAGTGTCTAAACAATGTAAATAGAGACCCAAGTAGCAGAACATTGTCAAAATACCAAATTATAGATTGTAATAGGAGGGTCCCTTCATTTATTCAAAAGAATTTTAAAACTTATAAAGTAGTGGAAGACACAGCACTGTGTTCTGTAATTAGTAAAAATGTAAAGTGATACATTTTCAATACAACTAGAAACCTAAGTAATCAGTATATTGCAGTGGCACTGAAAAGCCTCAGACAGGATCAAGGCCCCATTGTTCCAGGTCTTGTACAAACACACAGGAAGAAAAGAGATTGCTATGTGAAAAACCTCAACCTCACACTAATCAATATAAACCCCAAATTGAATTACGTACAAAATTCTGTATTCAGCCATCTATCAAAACTAATCTGCTGCAATGACACTTACCAATCTGTGGAAGCCCATCTGTCTACAGCATGTAGCCCAGTCTTGATATTCTGCCAGATCTCTCCATCAGCATCAGAGGACTGCATTATGATAAAAACCTGGTTGATTATTGAAGATTCTCTGAGAATAAGGCCTATGATAATGCACCAGTCCAGACATCCTGCTTCCATGAAGATGTGTAGCAAATACCTATAAGAACAAAACAGTTCATGCAGTGGCACGCTTTTCCTCCTCCCAAGGACAAAATTCAAACAACGCTAGATCACACACATGCTAAAAGCAAGAGTGAACATATTTTAGTTTCAATTCATCTTATGATGATGTAACTTACCGTAGTTGGACCTGTGACTTGTGTGGCCCTTTACTAGCCAATTCCAGAGAGAGATGTTCCAGCTCTGACTGTGTTAAACTTAGAGTGGAGATGTTTTCATCCACCATGGTCCAGTCACCATCCACAATAGAACTTGTTTCTGTCAGGTCTGTTGCTGAACCAATGCTGCATTCATCACCTACCAAAATACATTCAACAGGATATTTAGAAAGCCATCTATTAATTTATCAGGTGTCAATGTTTTCTTTTGCACTGCTTCCTCCAGAAACTGATTGGGCTCATTTAATAGTTAAACATTTACATACCAACGTAACTAGCTTTGGGATTCAGTAAGGGTGTTATTGGGTACTGAACAGCTAGCAGTTAGCCAGGAGCAATCTGAATGTAGGTATATTGTCCTTCTAAGGATTTAAAGGTCTTGTTGGTGCATTGGATTAATATAGACTTGCTTTTCTTTGCAAGCTGTTTTTTCAGTAGCAATTCTTGTTTGTACCAGATAAAGACAATCCTCCAGGATAAACTGAGTAGGAAGAGTAATATGTATACAACAGGTCCCCCAGGCACTCATACAGATCATTTGGAAAATAGTGAAGTACTGTTGAGCTCTTGGACAGATGTAGAAATCTCCCAAACACTATTAGTAATCAGAATTACTACGGTGAACATCTTAATTGATCCTAAAACTAGAGTCAATGGAAATAGGTTACAAGGCTGTTCTTAGCATGTGCGCAACATGCCCCAGGTGGCACATGACAAAGATTCATCACCAAATTTGGTCTGCTGGTTGGATCATTAGCTTCCTTGAGCACGACATGAATGCTGATTCATGCCCCCAGTTAAAAGTTATTTCCAACAGTCCTATGTGCCTTTGATTCCTGTTTATGCTCTAAAACAGACAGTATTAAGATGAAGTGAGTGAAATTGTCATGAAGGATACACATTTAGTCTGAAGAGCAGGAGTGGATTGGGAAGTGTGAAACCGATTTAAAATTGACTAGTCTTTTTCCAAAAAAAGCAAGATACAGAAAGGAAACAGTCAAATTTAGTTATTAAAATCATCAGTTTTAATAGTTTTAGGTGCTACCAACACAGGTAAGGACCTTTTCTAAAAAACACCAGACATGATTTTTTACTTTCAAGTCCTTTTAAATACAGCTGTCGCTTGCATGGTCATAGTCTTCAATTCTGACTCAGCCACAAAGTTGTCAATGCACTTTTAAATGTTTTTAGTATACTTTTCCACCGACTGAGCCAATCTTTTCTGCATTATGGTATCACTAGATAACAGGACAGCACCATACAGCAGTGATGAGCATTCATGACAAATGATGAATACCTAGATGCAATTTTCTGAGGGTGATGCAGAACGCGTGCGTGTGTGTGTGTGTAAAATAACCTACCTTTATTTAATAAAGGAGAGAGGAATGCATCTTGCATGTGAGGTCCATGGGATGAAAGTGTGTCCATTTCTCTCTGGGAGGAATTGATGGTGCTAAGCCAGCTGTGACTCTGAGGTGCACTTGAGACCCCCGTGTCCATTTCCACATTTAAAAAGCTGTCTGCAGACTGGGACTTGAGCAGCTGCTCTCCAACAGCTAGAAATAAGGAGGCATTTATAAAAAACTGACCTACAATACAAGTAGCCATTTTTTAATACATCTCCCAAACAACTTTTTACAGTTATATCCAAGTCAAAATTCAAGTAATTAAGTTGCTGACAAATGAACAAATGCAAGGGAATGCAGATCTTATGGCTATTGTTAAGACCCTTCGATCAGCCTCAGTGTACCTAGATACTGGCACACAGTGAAAGTGCCATCTAATATGTTGCTGGCATAGCTGAGCTACCACGTAAACTCACTTTTTTGCAATCTTGAGACAAACAGTCTAGCTTATAGAATTAAAAGATGCTTTAAAATTGCAGTGAGATTCATGTGGTAATCTCACAAAATAATATATTGAAAGATGTAACAACAACATTGTAATACAGGTTTGAAAACTGCAGCACATTCTCACAATTTTAACTCTTCCATCTCACTACCACATTGCTAGCAAATTTCAGCAAGTCACATGAAAAACAAGGTGTATCTCTAAAAATCAGATAAAGCTGATCAAATGCCCATCTAAAACCACATAATGTACTGATTTTAGTCACTTTCTTTGGCTGAAATTATATAAAACGTTGTGTCCAGACTGACCTGTAACAGAGATCTAGTTCTCTGATTTAATACAGCTAAAATATAACTTCTGAGAGAAAACAGGAAATCTCAACAGAAGCTACAACATAACATAACATAACTACTGCGAAGACATGATGTCTATGCTAAACAGAACCCCTTCAAAGCCATGCAAAGTAAGGAACTGTGCAGGTGATAAACCTCAACCTGTTCTTTGCTTGGCTGAACTGAGATACGAGAGATTAAAACTAATGGAGGCAGGACTGCAGGAAAGAAACCTAGTCCACCAAAATAACTCAGATGGTACAGCACCTGTCTTGTACTTTCCATTCTTGAAAGGTGAATTAACAGAGCAAGCTGGTATGACTGGAAATGGCCAGAGAAAGTCTTTGTGTAGTCTCTTCAAGGCAATCACAAAATCCTCCACACGGGCAGCTCGGGCTCGCTCCTTACACAGCCAACCAATCAGCTCAAAGCCTAGTTGCGCAGCGAAGCATCCAAGGTCTTTAAGCCTGATTTCCTCCAGCAAGCGTCGAGCATGACGCCAGAGCATCATATCAATGTACATATTCTCAGCACAGTCACTGTCTTTACTCCACCTGTGGACCAACACAAGAGAAGAGAAGAGGTGAGGTGATATTAAGACTGTAGCTTAAAAGTCACCTATAGATCAGCTGTAGCACAGATATATGAAATTGCAAACTGGTGAAAACCACTTGCACGTTGATAAAAGAGATTACGCGTTACCTGGGGTTCCTTTACCCAAGAGCCTCCACTATCACTATGAGCTATGTGACAATAGGAATGTGGTAGATAGAAACTAGATAGGCAGCACCAGCTGCAGGGGCTTAAAGTCTTAGCAGTGAAGGCAGGGCTACATGTCACTAGGGAAGCAAAGAGCAGCCCCCCTTCCAAAGTGGCCTCTCAGATAAAGCAAACTCCAGAAGACTGTGGCACTAGCAGTTTCTCTCACAGACAAGCACTCCTGCCACTCTCTAAGCCCTCAGCTGGGGCTCCAGTCCCGCCCCACT